TATGTCAGGTACCCAACACTGAAAACACTCGTCTATACCACATACTTCATGCTCAGAAACACCCAGAATATACTTAAGTAATAGTTAAGGAAAACCTAAGATGCACACTGATGTATTTTTAGAGCAGTATAGTCTTTAAACAACCCCAGATCATTTTGTTATAGATACTAAAAGGTAATCACAGTGTCAAACCTACGATCTCTAAATGAACGAAATTTGCCTCATACGCATGATACGCCTAAGAAGGACAGCATCTTTGCAGATTTTGGAGAGAGAAATGCCAGGCACAAGAACGAACACAGGAAGCATTTGTGGGAAAAGTGAATCAACACATACTGAGTAGCGGGTGGAGTAAAAATGTTGGATGTCACAGATACAGTGAATTTCAGAAGTAACTTAAAAGTGAAGGTCAAAAGCTTATTTTGAGGTGACTGAGAAAAGGGAATCAGTTGAAGAATGCAAAGAGAGGGCAGCAAACTAATGAGCAAGCGAAAGAAAGACACAGAGGCTTTTAAAATAGATTTCAGACAATGGGCTGTGACTGTGAAGTGTACTCACCACTGAACAACTGCAAGGGTTAAGAGAGAGTGAATGAATCTGGATCACAGCTTTAGCAGTCTAGCCAGATGTTTCATAACAGTTAAAATATCGATATAATATTGAAATATTTTAAATATTGCCAAAATAAATCTAAAATATTGAAAAGATTGCGTTATTGATACTGCAAACACCACAGATGTCATACATACTTACATATTTCATATTATAAGTATTATTATCTTAAATGAACAATATTGTTACACAGGTGATTAAAATATGTTCAAAAAGAAGGTTTAAGTTTCACCTTTAAGACTTACTAAGTTCTAAGTTTGATTGATCTACAGTGCACAACTGTCACTTTAATTGTTTCAGAGAAACAACCGATCCATCATGGCTTGCTTTGCCTTTCTTTGCCAAAAATCTTTTTCCAAAGTGACACAGCACAGGTTTCCAGGTTTTGTTCAGGAGAAAATAACTCAGCAGTTACTACATTATAGAAAAATATTATTGGTGTATATGGCTTCCTAGACTACTCTGCAAATTCCTAATCTTTAAGAGCAAAAAAAACAGAACTATACTCTAGCAATCAGTTTCAATAATCAGGGAAAATACTGTAATTTTCCAAATAGGCCTACTGCTTTGTGGAGTTACAAAGGCCCAGGTGCTGTAGATTCCCAACTAAATTACAGAGTAAGTTGGAGGGATTCAGCTTGGCTGTCTTGGGCATCTTTTAAGTGGATAGAATTTAAGATTTAAAAAGGCCTGTTGATGTAAACTTGTGGATGGAATTTAAAAATTGTATGTTGTGCAAATTAAATGCTTAAGAGAGTTACAAAGAAATACAACTTTTGTGGATATAATTCCTATTATAAAGTATAAAAAGTAACATAAATTAGCCATTTTAAATAATAGACTTAAGGGAATGGGAGCCTTTTCAGAGGGACAAAGCTTTTGTGAAATGGTGACCTCTCTACAGAGTCATGTGGGTCTGTGGCTCAACTGCTATTCATCCAGCTATTATTTACCTCTCTGTGAGGTGAACAATAACTGAATTTCAGATTCTTCAAGATCATTAAATCCACAATAACAGTTGTTGTCAGAAGTAGAAGGCTCCTATAGAGATATAACAACCAAACAGGGAAACTCTTTTGAAGGCTAAAAACACAGGTGCTAGGCACAAATTACACAATGTATCAGCCTGGCAATTTTCATGTCACTTTGTTAACTGTGGCAGTCTATAACTGTAGAGTACCTTTTATGCTTGTGTTCAGCTGCGGAGCTTACAGGGTTTCTCCAGCTCACACGTATCTCTTCACTCCCAAATAAAGAATGTCTAAACCATTAATTAGTATACCAATCTTAAAAGCGTACTGTTGCCCTTTGGCTGAGAGCTCCTTGATTTTCAGGCCTCACAGCAAGTCAGCTTCCGTTGTTGGAAAAGAATCAATGTCAGAGAGTCAGCTGCAACGCCATTTATTTGCATCACATACATATTTTTATATACATTATGTTCATGAGTCTTGACATACATAAATGACTCTGGAAACCTTAGCATGACCATGCTAAGAAGCTGCAAGGAACACCTTTTCTCCTGCCCCTGCAGTTCTCCAACTAACATCCCACCTATTATGAAACTAGGTGACACAACCACTTGAGTAAATGGGAACTCAGACTGCAGTACTAAATTCATTGCCACGCTGTTCAAAATATTTTTTTCCCTAACTGCTACACATCAGAAAACTTACTAAAAATGCATAACAACTGATATTCTAAGGTTTTTTCTTCTTCTTTTTCAGGGAGGGACTTCAAAGGGAAAGTGGAGTGTGTATCCTTTGCAGATTTCAAAGAAATTCAAATATGAGACTCCAATAACGGCCCTTTTTCCTCTGAGCAAAGACTGCTTTAACCTTATTTCAGCTCAGGTCTGCTAAGGAGCCCTTTATTCCAACACAATTCTGTGAAAGAATGTGGTTATCCCATTGAAGAGGAACATTGTAAGACCTGGTGATTGAGCTGTTGCTATTTTCACAAAATACAGCAGTTTCCGAGCCGCTCTGAGATCTTTACTGATCTCTCATTAATCTCCCTGTTACCCCAAACAAAGCTATTTAGATTTTCAGCAGAAAGGAACTGAAAATGTTAATCCACGTCACCCACAGATGTTTGGAACTCTAAGAAGGAAACTTTTGAATGTTACCTTCTTGGTTGACGATGGCATTTCATCAGAAAGATATCATAAATAAATGACAAACATTAACTTATGGCTAAAATGGGCAGTTTGGCTCTGCAGAAAAGGTAGAAATACTACCCTAATACTATAAACAAGGCACAGATTTAGTAAATATCTGACATTAGCTTTCAAAACAAAAAAGCTCTAACAGACTCAATTGAAAAGCATTACAGTAACCATAAACCATTTTAAAATAAACGTATATTATGTTTATCCTTTTCAACTCAGTAACAGTAACTGGCACGGAGAGTACAACTTGTTTCCCCCTGTACTGTACAGTCCCTCACTGCACTCCAATCTGAATGCCACGTACGACAACATTAAATGAATGTAATATTTTTATTGACAATCCAGTGTAACTGGCATTGTAGAGATGGATGGGTGAGTGGATGGATGAATGGATGGATGGGCAGGTTTTTATTAGGTGATCCAGCTCTCACAGAAAGAGAAACAAAGATTGGTAAATAAAACAGAGAGAAATATGGTTTATTGAACTGCTTGCTTAAGGGAAAAATCATACACAGCCTACATAGAATTGCCAGGGGCAAGAAGTTGATGGTAACAGATAAACTAGGATTATTCTTTTCTGTGGAATGAATAAAAAAATACACCAAAACAAGCTTAATAAAATGCAATGTCTATTTGAAAATTAATTAGAAATTTCTTCAAAGCGACACTGAAGTAAAACTATTTAGCTTCCTAATAGGAAGCGAAATTGAAAATACTTCCTAAAAAACATTGTTCCGGTTCAAAGGATTAGAGTTTAAATGGTTTCAGTGCAGGGTTTCTGTCTGCACTTAACACTGCCCTCTTGTGCTTCTGCCTTAAAATACATTTTCCTTACATCATCAATAGACATAGGAAAATCGGAAGTCCGTTATAGCTGGAAATGCAGTCAGTAAATGAAGTATACTTAGCTTGATTTTTTTAGGCTTCAATGAAATAAGCTCAATTTGAACAAAAATATTACAATGGTTTTAAAAGCTGGCAACTCAGTCTCAAGTATAGTACTTCTAGGATTATAACCTATATAAAACAGTATTAGTTGCTAGTTTTGTCTGTTAAAATTTACTAAAAATTCCTGAAATAACTTTCTGTAATTTTTCAAATCTATTTACTTTCTAGACTAACATTATTTAAATTTTCCGTAAGTCCCAAGATTAGCATAACGAAACACAAACAACAAATATCCACCAATAAACGAGCATTAGCATTCAAGTACAGGATAAAATTATAGGCGTGAAAACAATCACGCATCTCATGATTTCCATTTTTTCAGTATTTTTTTGCACCATTCTGCAGGTTGTACATTAGCTTTTATTTGCAAGATTTAGCCAGCAGAGTTAGTACAAAGCATCCCAAAAATCTAAACTTCAAAAAGTATTGGACCCAATTCTCTTCTCACTCTATAAACACTGTAAATCTAATGCCATAAATGAATGGACAGCTGATTAGTATTAATAGAGATTAGTATTAATAGAGCATCACTTTCTGTATATTTGATCTTAAATTCAACAGTAGTGACACAAACTCTCAGAGTAAACTCTTTGCAGTAATATGTACATGTGACAACTGAGATATAATATTGTAAGGCATAAACCATGCACATTTCCACTTTTCTTTTTCCACTTCTCCAACCTTCAAGATAAACCTAAAAAAACTTATTTATATTAAAAATCCCAATATCCAAAATAGAAAGGAAAAAATAAATACTCAAACAGCAGTGTAAACTTTGTGTCAATGAATATATATATTGTATTATCCCCCTGCATCTGTTGTGGCCGATGCAAAATTTCAAATATCAGTCATATAACTAAATAATATTCAATACATGCAAAATTATACGCGGACCAGTTGTTCAGGGATGGTGAACAGACGCACACGTGTTCATTTAAAGGACAAGCATGTCCTGCATGTCACTCTTTGAGGCTGCTTAGATACTTGCAATATAAAAGTAACCGCTGAGTGAACTCAGACTGCAAGGAAAGCTGCAAATGGAATGAAATTTAGCATAGAGTTCTCTACAGTGGACTGCATGGTTATCAGGAAAACATATAGGATAGGTAGTTTCATTTCTACATATAAACAAATATCTATAATTTCTGCAGCCATTTATAGGTCTGTGGTGGTGATACATTTGAAGCATACTATATGTGCCTCGGCCCCTTCATTTGATTATGCAGTTTTTTATTAAATGAGTTCCTGGTAATGATATTAACTGTACACTTACCCTGGCATTGGCCCATTTCCAGCAAGACTGTAAACTTGACGAGGATTTAAAAGGTATTGAAATTTTCTATAAATCCTGAAGAGGTGAAACAAAGAGAAGGAGAAAATATTTACTTACATTTTTTGAATTGTTTTTTAAGACTATCAATGAAAGAATTAAAAAAGTTAACATATACTATAATGAACTGAATTACAGGATCTCATTAATACAAAAAGAAGACCAAATACTTGAACACAACAATTATAATAATTCACACGTCTAGTGTTTTGTGGGCATAAAATTCAGACATAACTGCTACAAGCTGTTTACAATCCAAGTGCCTTACATACACAGGAAAAAAGTAGGATAAGGAGGCATGATGACACAAGAAAAGGTGACTCGAAAAAGCATTTGTAAGAGCACTGTGGTTACTATTAAAGTAACTCCATTGTAAATGAGATGTATTCCTGAATTTTACTGCTAGCACAAAATTAAAAATATCATTAATTGCAAATTCAAATTGGCTCTGCCACCTACCAAAAATGTCCGCATAGACTGAACAACTTTCTGAAAAAGCAAACCTGTTGTCAGCTACTGTTAGATTCAGTTAATGGGAACATACATCTCCTTTGGATTATTTGTAAATGGAACATTAAAAAGACTGAAAACCACTGTTTTAATTAAATTACACTCATTTCAAAAATATCTCAATAATAGGAGGGAATTTATTGATACAGTATGCATAGTGTTGTCCTATCCCAGAAGGAACTGCTGGGAAATGCTTTTTCATATGGTAGAATAGTTCAAAAATTGTAACCTCATAAATTTGAAGCTACTTATCCTAAAAGTAAGACAAATGTTTTGTGTCTTGATTAAAAACATTAGAAATATAATTTCCTACACTGACTACAATGTGGTACCTGTATCATTTCTTATGTAGAAATAAGCAAAGGCAAGAAAGAGTTTGAGCCCAGAATGACTGACTATATGCCTGGGATCTATGACAATAGTTTGAATTTATAAACTCTCGTCTCCTGCTTTTAATTTTAATGTTTATGTCCTCAAGCTAATTAATATTATAATGTTTTTAAGAATGCACTTATTTTCTCTATGGGAATAGCTCTTCCTTTCTTTTTAAATAACCTTTATTACTGTTTTAAATAAAATAGATGCATAATAAGAATTGAATTATTTTAACTTAAAAATGTCCATATGGTTTCAAACTCAGTAAAATAAAACTGTCTAGAGACAATCTATGAGCACATTGGGGAATTTCTTTTTAATATAAATACATAATTTATCAGGAGGGTATAAGAATACTTAATACAACCAAATTTATAATTATCTGCAAAATTGCTAAATTGGAAAATTTTCTAACATCAATTATTTAGTGATATCAGCTTCTTTATAAAGCTTTATATTCAAACATACACACACATAATCTTTTTGTGATGCCATTCATGACAGAAAACGTCAATGTGACATGACTGGCTTCTCTTTGCAAGCATGCACATCTTTGTCAACTGTTGTGATGATGACTAAATCAGACATTTGACAGTGGATTTGCAAGGCTGTATTTTCATTTCATATGCAGTATCTTACTGATGCAAAGGGATTCTGTTTTTAATTTTCTAGTTAGTATGTGTAAGTTGCTTCTCAGTGACAGCAGTTGCTTCTCAGTGACAATGACAGCATTTAACCTGGTCAAAAGTGCATGACTTTAACCCGTGTAGCTGACCTGAGAGAGTTCCTAAGCAGTATTATTATGAAGTCCTAACGGCTTAACTGTTAACTGCCTAAAAGTTAGGTACCACAAAACATAGCAGTTATTATTTACACTCACAATAGTATTGTCAGGTATCAGTGAAGTGATATAAAAACCTTCTTAATAAAGAGGGAGCTACATATCTCTAGCCAAAACCTAGAAGTCCACCAGCAATAATGAAAAGATTACACTGAATCCTACTTGATTCAATGCATGCCATTCATATATAGTAGTTGAACATCAAAACCAGCAGAATGAGGCTATAATGACTCATTGTAAATGACACATCATGCTTTAAATTATTATAATACATATTTATGTATGCTAGTCTGTGAAAAATTCATAACTTCACAATGATTCATTTCAGTTCATACATTCACCAAGAAAGAGGAAGAATCTGCCTGTGTTTGCCTTCTTACTAAACTGTAAGTATATCTGACAGCGTGAGTGACACACTCAAGACTAGGAAATGGACAGTAATTTAGCCTTCCCAGTTTTACATGCACAGTACCGAACAGCCTAACAACACTGACATGTTTTGGGGGGGGAGGAAGGTTTGCTTCTGTTTGCAAGGAATGACTTGGACATGGTTGCCTTGTGACTGGAGATTTGTGCAGACGGAGCAATGAGGCAGTGCAGTGAGTAATGCCACAAAACTGAGCTCTTTGTGACTGAGTGTAATTCCATGAAAAAATTTATGAAATTACCACTTGTCACCATCATCTCCAGCTGGTACCTACCCCAGGGCACAGTTTACCAATATACAGTTGTGCTTATGAAATTGTTCACTAGGTTATTCTGTGATCTAGATAACTCCACAGATTCATTTTAAAACACAAAACGTCAGAAATGTTTCTTTATTGTCATTTCTTCCTCCCACTTACATCATGCCCATAATACGGTATGCAGTGGAACCCCCAAAACAGCTGCACTAGTGTAACTGAGGAGGCAGGAAATTACAGCAGAGAGGGCCAAGAGGGCTGGGATCTTGTGTAAACAGCTCTGCTGCTGAAGAAAATACTCGTTCCTGCAAGTGACTGCTTGGTCTGAGCTAGACTGAGCTATCTTTCAAAGTCATAAGATCATTGCTTTACAAAGTTAGGAGAAACGGAGGGACAGAAACCTATTGGTGCTCCAAAACTGGTAGGAAAGTTGACTGCACTGGGGGAAAAGCTGGCCACAGCAGTGCCTTCTGCCATCTGGGGAAGGCATCATTTCAGTCCTCTGGGGGGTGAATTTAAAGCGAGGGCAGTTTAGGCTTAATTAATCAGTAATGACAAAGAAGCCAAAGTCTTCACTCCAAAAATGAAAGAATGTTAATAATCTTTTCTCCAAGACATACAGAACTTCAGAAAGAACATCGGTATTTACTTCTATATTTTATCTCCACGCTAATTGAGAGATTAGAAATCCAGTGTAATCATAGGGTGGGATGGAAGAGCTACTTTGAAACAAAGTTATCTGAAAACAACAAAGGTCAAATATGTCATCAACCTGCACTGCACAGACACTGCAAGTGGAGTCAGCAGGAAATGTCAGTGTAAGGAAGCGGATCTCCAGTGCATCCAACCGCATATTTGCCAAGGAAACAATTGTCTAAACTCACCTGCTGGTCAGGCAGATAAATTGTAAAATGGGGAAAGGGAAAGTAAAAAAGTAATGAGTATGGCAAAACAACAATGTGATTTAGTGGTATTCTTATGTAAGAAAACATTACCCTTCACAATAACAGTCTTTGGAAGCACTACACGCCATAACTACTTGCCAGTTATACATCCTTTCTGTTGAAAGAAACTATTTTGTCAATGATGTAGCAATTACGTACATTTTATTCACAGTTTACTGATAGCTGCTGTCTTGATAAGTTAGATCTTAAAGTCAGACATGCAGGAATGTTAGCTCTAGGATGAAATGGAAATACTGTAATTTTTCTGACTTAGTGTATTCAAAAGCGCTTAAATTTCCATTTTATGTGCAACTATTGAAAATATGTTAAATTGTAATGCCACTTGAAGAAGACTCCTGATTGGGTTTGATGAACTCCTATCCATTCTCATTTTTAATTAGAGTCTTTTTTTGGTCTGTGAAAGGCTAAAATTCATAAATTTTAATTCTGATCTGCTACTTACTGCTTAATACATGTTAAACTATACACTCGTTAAATTTATTATAAACATATCTATATCACAGTAAATCCTTTAAGAACCAATAAGAATGTTTAAATGCATTTGCATTTCAGGTAATAGGCAACAGGTATGTAGCTCTCCATTTGAGAAGAAAGTATGACTGGATTATTTTCATAGTACTCTACTTTGTAATTATATCTGAAAATCATGGCAATAGCTTTTAAAAGAGAAAGCTATACACAGGAACAACATGGTATGGAACACTATAAATTTGGCATAACTGTTCTTTTTAATAGAATTCAAATTTTAAAACATATTGATAAGGTAATCTAGATATGGTTGTAGAGAGAACAGAGGCTACCAACACAAACTATTTTTACGTTCAGAATACACTCTCTACATATCCATTTACGTTTCCCAACACCTTTCTGTTGCAACACTTAAAACTAAAACTAAAGGATCTACCTTCCTTTACATTTAAGTGACTGATCTTCAGCTCCTTTCCTTTGCATTTGAGAGATTTGAAAAGGTTTCCAAAATAAGAATGGAAAAGACAGAATTATTATTGGGGGAGGGTATTTACTCAATTTGGTGTCAGATGGATGCATACACTCTCTCCAAGTGTAAGGGCACTGAAATGGGTTGGCTTACCATATGGCAAGGCATAAAGTCTCATACAGGGGAACTGTGGGAACACTGGATTCTTGACAATATCTGTAATAACCTTTCTGTGTTCAATGAAAGTCAATCAGAAATCATAACTTCATTCATCATGATCCCTCAAATATAGAAAATCGTAAGTAAAGACTGAAGAACAGCTCTCACTAAAACATCACCTTAATCTGAATGAGTCAAGATAATGAAACTCTCATCTACAAAAATTAGCAGGTTTTTTTCCCCCTGCAAAGGAAATTTTGCTTTTGTTACAACCTACACTCTACCTTAAGCTTCTCAAAACCTATCATCTAGATAGCAAAATCACTATAATCAGAGAGTTTAGCCTGAATCACCATCACTGTGCATTTTGCAAAGCTATTTATTTCTTCAAATAGCCTTTCATTTTACTTTTCACAATACATAACTGCCACAAAATTTGGGGAGTTTCCTCTCTTTCTGGTTACTGACCATATATCAGAAATGTAAAAACCAGGAAAAGTAAAACAGATAAATATTATTGTTCTTCAGAAATGATTTCATTCTTTAGATTAAACCTTCTGGGTAATATGTAATCTTAACATCCTTATTTTATCATTTTATTATGTTATTGGAATCTATACGAATATCAACACCTAAAAGGCAGACAGGAAACCCCTTTTAATAAAATATTCCATACGTGGAAGCACAATCCTTTTATTTTCCTTTTTGAAATCTGGTTTTAGATCAAATCATGAGATAAAAACATCTCCTGCTGGTGACTGACTTGAGGGATGTCTACATGGGTATGCAGTAGTGCTCTTGATACGTTCTTGCTAACTTAAAAATCTTGAGTTCAACCTTGGAAAATCAGTATGCAGTTAAACATTACATTTTCTGTGACATCAAGGCCAATATAAGAGGTTCTTATACTTCACTATACTCAGTTGCTTGTTGCTGTCCTCATGGTGCACACTTCATTGTGTAATGATGCTCATAGGTAATGGTGTTAGTGAACCAAATGTGTACATACATTTTTGAAGGCATATTTTTTTTAAAATTCAAATCCTTTCTGTGATCTGCTCGGCCCCATTAACAGCTGTATTAACATAAACTGAGAGGTGTCAGACTGCTATATGTAAATGGAAACAAGAGATTGAGTTGGGGATCAGGTTTTAAACTTACTTAACCCAGGAGAATACGCATCATTAAATGATATCCCTTGTGTTCATTAAGCCTATTCAGCTAGTAACATCCGGGACCAATTCTGAGCTGGGAACAAAAAGTGTGAAACAGCATCTCCTTAAATTGTTTCTATGTTATAACTACCCATATAAGTGCAGCTCTCTAACCTACCTCTCACCTACTTCCCAACTGGATTCCTTATCTACTCACTTCATATGCATACTATAAAAAAAAAGGCAAGCTGCGTGCTAGCGCGTTACCTCCCACAGTGTTCCTGACTGCGCAACTCATACTACAGTGTTTGAAAGATAAATGTAAGCCTCACCATGTAAGCCTCAAGCGTTGGCTCATATTTTATTATCACAATTGCAAAGACATGATCTTGGAACTGTTTATGTTGGACCTTTTGGATCAGTCAACTGCCTTTGACATAACAACCACTGTTGGCAGGGTGACATCTAAGTATACCAGCCCATAGATTACATAATCTTTTCCTAAGTGATAACCTCTTCTCTTAGAGGTCTTTGAGCATAGTTTTGGTTAAACGGTCTTGAGTTCTAAGATTTCCGTAACATCTACCTTGCAGGTAGATTTAAAGGGATTTAAATTAAATCCCTTTTGATTTAAATGAGGAAACACTGTTTGAAAGAAATGATCTGATGGAGGCAATGAGGAAGAGAGAAGGAGAGCTGACATAAATGGAAGTTTCCTTGTTCCCCTGATTCCAGGTGTGGGAGTCACACTGGATCCTTCCTTTTCTGCATTTGGGTATCCACATTGCTCAGTGTCCACAGATGCCCTCTTCAGCATGGCCAAAAAACTGTAACCTTCTTTTTCAAGATTTGAAGAATAAATTACCGCACTAGCATTGGAAGATAGTCTAAAAATATTGAGACTTATATGATGACAGAATTTTAGTTTTGATCAGAAATGACCATATTGTTTGCACTTGTAATTCTGAAGTAAACGCTGAAAAAATGAGTTTGCAGAACAGGGTATGAGGAGAAGGCTCCTTGCCTTTCTTCTATCATACCTATACTGATGCACTAACATTTAAGCATATATATATAGGCTTTTTGAATTCAAATTAATATCACTACTCACATACTTAAAATTAAGTGTCTTTAAAGTCTGTGTGATTGGACTTTGATACTTTAACTTGATTGTTAAAATGCTTCCTATCTACTTTTTTTTTGGGGGGGGTTTTACTAAAAGGCTGGAAAGTTTACTTACTAAGTCCAAAAGGTAAGTCATATATTAGAAAATAGAAAAATGTTTACAATTTAAAGTACTGGCCTTTCTATATAATTAATATAGATATTAAAACTGTTACAATATCAAGTTTACAATGCAAAATATAGCAATTCATGGCTTTATGCAAACTGTATAAAACCATGCATTGAGTATAGTTACTCTTTCAGATGTGAAACTGTTGCATAGAATTCATCCTAGTTTTTAACTGCAGACTTTAAAAGCATATGCTAATGTGGATCTATTCTAAACAGGGTAATGGGAACGTTCAAATGCAAGGCATAACACTATAAAATATACCCCATTTTTGAATTTCTTCTCATGTCTAAAGTTTTCAGATCCATTTCTATACATACCACAGATCAAATAGAGAAAGAAAATAAAAACAAAAAGAGCATATAACCCTTACCTTTCTCCTTGTTTCCCACCACTTTTAGGATTGACAAAAACTAAAAGTGGATGAGTGCCTGGAACTGGAGTGATCTAAAAGAAGGGAATAACACAGCCACTCATTAATGCTGTGTGTTGCATTCATTTTTTTCCTATAGTAGACAGAAAACAAAAAGCTTAATGCAAACTCTATGTTATGCTATGTAATCCAGCTGGAAGTAATTCCACAATTTGCAATAATCCTCTCTTCATTAATTTCCCAAAAATTATAAGTGACATTTACGATTTTTTATGCTAGCTGTCTGGCTTACAGCTGTGATGCCATTTTAACAAATAATTCCACTGAAATCAATACTGATATATATAGGTTATATTCATCAATAGAGAAGAAAAGTTTCAATGCAAGAAATGCATAACTTCGATTCTGACAAAGGAGTTGCTTCCTATGCCAAAAAGCTATGAAGAAAATGTATTTTGTCATAAGGAGGAGGAGAAATGACACTCACTATGTTATAAAGATAAAATATAACTATATGAAATCTTAAACTTGAGAGAAACTCACAAACACAACAATAATTCTTTTAATGACAGAAACCTGCAATACTTGAAACGACATGAAATCACACAGTTTTAAAAACATAACAATCAGTAATAATTAGGTCATTTAAATAGCCTAGACAGCTAGGAAGTTGAAAAAAGGACGGGAGATAAAATGCGGTCATGGAAGTCACAAGTTTGAGGAAAAGGATAGAGAGAAGGATGAAGAAATACTCATATTGAAGGAGACAATGCCTTCTGCCATATCCTTTTCTTCTCTTGTGCTTGGAATGTTTTACATACTAAATTAACGTTCAGCTTTGCCAAACCAACACTTTCCTTCTAAGTAATACTGTTAGTTTGCACTTTCAAATGCTGTAAGATATGAGTGTTCACTGCTTTCACTCCATTGACCTTGAAGAATGTATAAAATTTACATCAGATGAAGAGCTACCTCTAATACCTGGTTTTAAATCATAAAGTGAGTATTCATATAAAACTAGTATCACTCTTTTAGCCATATATCAGGTCTAAAATATTTAAAAGCATATTAAGAGTGAAAAGTCAACATCTCTGAAGTCATGCACTAACAACTTAGATTGTCTCTGTTAGCTTAGATTGTCTCTGTTTCAAAAGGGATATGTATTGAAAAGCCTTGCTCCAAATCCTTACTCATAATTCCTGAAACAACAGAATCTTTTCAGCTGAAGATTGCGCAAAATATAACTTAAGGCAGAACCTAAAGAACATGAAGCTAAGGGGTTTAGTTGACAGTCCTATATGCATCTGAAACCCCTTTTTCCATCCATAATTATATAAACAATGGGTCCAACTCTGATCCAATTCATGCAACCAAAAATTATGAAAAAATTCTGCAAAATCAGTTGAATTAAACCTAGCATAAAACCAACACAGCATCAGACTCTGTTGCAGTATACCCTTACTGTACAGCACTGTAGGTTGAAACACACAAAATATCAAATTGCAGGATATATTGAAGTTTGTCATATATTTATTTTTTATCTACTGTTTTAATCAATTTTACTTATTTAGCCAATTCACAAGATGTTTGTTCCTGTGAACAAAGTGTAAACCAATGGTGCTCTTTGTGACAGAGATGGACTACCTACTGAAATCCCTTAGGACGCAGGTTAATTAATGAGACTCATCCTAAGGTTATACATGATCTATTACTTCCTCTAATTAGAAATAATAATCCTGATCATTATGCTGGTTAGCTAGAAAGAAGTAAGATGAATGTGCTTAACTATGATTAATAGTCTTTTCTAAGTCGTGCAGATCTCCACTGCCACTGAGTTATGTGCACACTGCTCTCTGATGGAAGGAAGGTTTTATCTTGATACTTTTCTCAACAAAAGTTAAATCCTTCTGATGAACTTATTTCTCTTTTAAATCTTTTATTTCAAAACTTAACCCTACTATTACAGGTAGGAGGTCTAGGATCATCAAAAAAATCTAAAAAACAGTTCGCATTCCACTTGATTCCAAAATAAGGAATTAATTTCAATTAATTTCTTACAGCTTTTGTAAATCAGTTTTCTAAATAATGTAGATGTTTCCATATAATTCACAACGTAACCTAAGATTTAGATGAAATTGGTGAATATTTTCAGGTGTTAATCTAACATAACTTAAGGACAATCTTCATGAAGTTATAGGACAAGTGACTTAATTTGGGGGGGATCAACTCCGGAAAATGAAAGTTTGTTTGTTTGCTTATATATAGCTTCTCCTACATTAAAATGGAGGTCTCACAGGACTAATGTGGGGATTTGCTGGGTATCTTTGATATAGTATCTTGGGAACTTAAATAATAAACAAAGGCAATTAATATCATGATCTGATTAAGCAGATCATATTTTCTGATTAAACAAAGTTTCCAAAAAAATCATCAAAATCCTTTTCTGTTGTTTGAAATCAGGGAAGATCATGTTCAAATGAGAAGACACCAGAAAAATATAAGTGCTTACTGTAGAACCAGAGTAGTGTATTTTGGGCAGCTATGGTAGAGTTACAGTAGCGTACTTGGATCAGCTACAGAAATTTATGCTCCAGATCATTCCGAAAATATACTGTAAATAAAAGGAACTTAATCCAGGAGGTAAAATAAAAATTCATGATGCATAGTGCTGCTACTGAAAGGAAAGACCAGAAAAGTTGTCCAGTATCTAGAGCACTTTTGCTCACTGAAATTGCACAGATATCTATCTCCCTGAAGCTAGAGAATTCTCCATGGGTTTCCAGTAGCACCGGTTTATTAGAGGTCTTCACGCTGTGATTGATCAGACATAGCTTGAGCATTCTGTCAATAAATACTCTAGACCTTTTGCTTCATGTTTCATCTGTCACAGATGATCTGAATACAGCTGCAATTTGGGCAGATGTCAACCACAGGAAAATGATCACTGTAATATCAATGGAACAGTCATGTGACTAGGGTTTTTGGTTATTTTTTCCCCTTTGAGTTGTCATAAGAAGAATGTTTCACTAAAACCTAAAAAGATTAAACAATACAGTAAGCCTCTCCATCCTGACACAACAAGTTGCATCATGAAATAATTATAAGATATTCAGCAGTTGATCTATGATAATGGAATCTTTAGCATTTTACTGAACCTCAGTTCTAGCATATCAAAAGATACAGAGAGCAGTCAACGATGTACATTAAATGATTATCACATTGTTATCATGATGATCATTCATTAACTCCTGAGGAAATCGAGAAGACGCATCACATATACGAACATTTACACTACTGAAAACCACCCATATCTCAAGGAAAATAACTCTAAGTTCAGGCAGAATTTCCAATGTGCTCTAACCTCCCTACAATAACATAAGCTCATCAATCACACACACAGGTACATACTATCAGGTTTCTTTTAAAGTAGAAAACCTCAAATTTTTATAGATAAAGCTACTACTGCAAGCACCTTATGTAGCTCCACCCTTAATTGTGATGTGCCAAATACTTTTCTTGGAAATACCTAGGCAAATAATATCTTCTAAGTTTAATTTATCTGTCTGTCAGTTAAAAAGACCAAGAACGATCAAGTCACAGTCTCAGTTTTATCAAGCAACTTCAAACAATGTTGCATGACAGATCCTAAAACAATCAGTTCATCCTCACCCCACAATCCAAGTGCTATAGAACTAGTACCTCCTTCCCCTAAGTCTTAGGGCTTAGGAAGTCCTATCAATCATATCAGAAACAGAAGATTCCTGCAAGTGGGAACCCTGTACAGATGGAAGAAGTTATCTTATTGTTATATTTTTAAATATGTCACAGTGATCTCCTGGAAGAATGCATATATAGGAAATATTTTACTTTTAAGATTGCTCACCCTATTGTTGTCTTCATACCTACAAATATCTTCTTAAAATTAAAATAACAACAATAATCACACCTGAAGACCTTGTCCATCTACGGTGACTGAATTTGCTCTTTGCATTTTGTTCCGTTCTCCCAGTTTGTTCATTTGCTGGGGGCAGCTCTTCTCTTTTTTCACTGTTGCCTGCCTTTCCTTTGAAAAAAGAACAGAAAAAGAACAAAATGGAAATTTTAACACATTATATAATGCAATTGTAACTGACACAGTGCCTGTACAAATTTGCTTTTCCACTAGAGAATAATGTCAGATTCTGCTTTGATGAAAATGAGATCTCAATCAAGTTACTGCACAATGTCTTCACGTAATGTACTTCAATGTACTTCACGTACACAATGTACTTCAATGTACACAATGTACTTCACGTAACATCTATCTATGTGCCTGGACATCGACAAGGCAATAGACAGATGCAAAGCGTGCAGTCACAACACAAATTAAAGTAATGATGTGAAGATAATCTGGCATTGCAGGTTGGCATTCTGCAACTTGAAAGCCAATCATACAAAATCCTTAACTGTTTAATAAGCATATTCATAACAGATACAATAATTTATCAAAATATAGTCCTAACTGTTGTCAAAGGTTGGCTGTTTCACGATACTTTGCCACTTTGGCAAAACATACCTATTCTAAATGCACCATAACCAATTGACTCTCTGTCTTTAAAAGGGAGATATTTAAAGTAGCTTTTTGTAAAGTACATCAGAAGGACTATACTCAGTCCAGGGGAAGTTGTGAATCTACATCAGAAGCTAAGCAGTTGGCAACTTTTAGTACTAGCAATACACAGCACAATTAGGCGGTTATTAGAAAAAGAAAAGCTGTTCAAGAGAAGTATGCTGCTGTAATCATATTTTCAACTGCTGTGAGGTCATTACAAAGAACTCTAAAAGTTAAAAATAAATATATAAATAAATAGTGTCCTTGCGCTTTGCATTTCATTTTCTTTTCTATTTATAAACTGCACCCAGCATGTCCTTTTACCATGTCCAAAAACTGCACCATAAAATAAGACAGCAGATGTTTATCAAATGGAATCAGTGTCCCCAAACCCAACTGCACTCCAGTCACTTTCCTCACTTCACAAGTGCAAGGAGGCTTTAAACCAGTCGGGGGAATGGGCTGGCACAAAGCTGCTGCAGCATAAAAGAGCATGAAGGACATACACTCCCTGCAACTGCACTCAGTAAGCAGTTCATTAAGTGTTACCATTTATGTTGCATACCAGGCCAAACTCATCTCTGTGGTAACTCTGATAAAGCCTAAGGGATTTCACTAGCAATTAATCCATGTCACTCTTTCTAAAGCAGTTTCAACTGGTGAGAAATGTTGACACAGATTCTCTGGCATGAACAGTATAAATCCCAGATTAATATAGTGCCTTCTTAGTATTACTGTTACATTAATACAGTTGTGGACAATCACTATTTTTACACTGCCTTTGGTTTCTTTACATTTGAATAATGACACAGCCTCAGGGTGGTCCTGAGGCAAACAGTGCTCTGAGTCATCCCAGGCTGCTTTGGGTAGCCAGGTGCTCTGGAGAACTGTGGCGATCCGGTCACATTTCCTATAAAAGGACTGATAAACATATGCCATGGAATAAATAAGGGAGTCTACACTATTTTCCATTCACAGTGAGATTCCTAAGAGGTTCGTTAACTGAGCTCTTGAACGCTTTGAATAACCAGACCAGTTCAAGAGAAGGTCTAAGAGTCTAGGCTGTATTTTGCTTTAAATAAAAAATTATCTTTAATGTAGCTAAGGAGAAAATAATAAGGCTCTGTAGAAGAAGTCACCCCAACTCATCCCAGCCCTAACCTTCAAAACACAGACATACACTGCCCCCTTCTCTGCCTAAGAAATCACCCACTCTGCACTTATTTATTCAATGATTTTTACAAACTGGAGCCAGGGTGAAGAACCCAAGCAGAATAACATTTGCGATCTAACACAAACATTAATGCACTATGCCATTAGTTAGTGCCGGAAATGGAGAGCAGGACAACTTCAGTATGAAGGAAGTTTCACAGAAGAAGCAGCTTTGGGGTTTTAAATAGCTTTGCAAGTAACTACCCTTAGTATGAATTGCTTAAAAGTCACTACACGTGACAGGTATATAGAGTAAGCATACCATGTTAGACATAATTTTGCATTACCTGAAGTCATATGGCTAAATCAGGCTGTTGGATATTGCAATATATTCAAAAATCAATTAGATGTCATTAATACAGACACATAGTTAGTATAAAATTCTGATTAATAACAAAAATCAGAGATGGAGAGAGAACTTTACAAAGTCTACAAAATTGTTAAGTTAAAAAATGTCTTTGTGATAGCTCAAGGAAGAAGATAATCGAAGGGAAAAGATGAAGCATTTAGAGGATGTATGTTTAAAGAGTTTTTTAAAAAAAAAACACTATTAAAAAGAGGCCTACTCATAATGTATAGCACCAAAAAACTCCTTTCATATTTCACGCTATTACTTAGATGAAAAGTATTTATACATTGCTGAGTGCTATCTTTACATAAAGGATGTTTACCATAATGCCCAAACCTCCCGTTATCAATCATTCACAAACTAAAACCAGTAACAATTACCTCAAGCAAAGATTTGGAGGGGGGCAGTTAATTTGTCCCAGCATGAGACAGATGATAGCAGCAAATACCCACTGCTGGTCCTATGACTGCTGCATCACTTTCCTAATTTATATTACCCGGTCCCATAAGCAAGACAATCTCTTGCCTCACAGACCAAGACAGTTTCTCCTAAGCAGTGACTCCATAAAATCAGGCCACATACATCACATTATACAAGGAAAAAGCACATTCATGATATAAAACTGTCTGCAATGTTGTAAGAAATCTAATGTGGATACTGGACCTCATTATCTTTTAAGGCCTACTTCTTTCAGTGATGATTTATGAATAAAGTAAAATAAAGTATTTCCTATGACCTATCTTCTATACATATGATACTACGTTATATATCACTGCATGTATAAAAAGTAATACTTCTGAAGAACTCATGAAGATCATGATAGATTCTAGATTTCCTGAAATTGCAGAACCTACCTATATGTCACACTGTGAGGATCTGACTTATGGTTTATATGAAATAATATAATAACCTGCATCTTAACTCTCTACTGAATAGTTCTATTAAAAGTACACAAAAAGAAATATTCACCATGAAAGATTTTAATTAAAAATTACTTTGTAAATATTGTTGTACAGATATTCTGCATTTTGTATGAAATAGAAAGCTGGCTTTCTAATCCAGTTGCAAATGACTGTTTGAATAACTTTCAGGAATTAGGGGATTATTAAAGTATCCGAGATTATCATGAACTAAACAATGTTATTCCCATATGAGATAGTAACAATTTAATAAAATCATCTTTGGATAACAGCGTACAAGTTCTAACTTAATGTTGGAATCTCACATGCACTGAAAATAAGCAATATTACAAAATACAAACATGTATTTTCAAGGTAAGAAATGTTTATACTACAATTGTGCTGTGTTAACATCTTTTTTAATTAAAGCATATAAAATGATTAATGTATCTGTGAATCATTTTTTCTGGTGGGCATGCATAAAGTTGATAGAGATATTGAGTACAGCATTTTTAAAAGCTATTGTACATTTTGATGGCTCAAAGAATCACACTTTTCTTTTGTATGGTATATGCCAGAGCATATGCCTTTCAAAGCAGCATTTACCACAAGAAGAACCTTTTCTACCCACTTTTGTATCTCTCATGCCCTCTTTTCTCCCCTTGAACTCCCACTTTGAAGTCACTATCCATTAATTGACAGGATGGAGCTTCTACCATTCAGCACTGCTCCGGTTAGATCACTATCAAACAAAAACTGCCTCTCAATTTTACCTATCTTTTATTCACCCAAGTAAGAAAAAGAATTGATAAATGAGACTGGACCTTTCAAATGACAACACAGATGATGTCTGGATAGTTAGTTCAGCCCCAAAATGCACTTTATAGCAAGAAGAATGTACAGTATCATGATCCATCAGTACTCATGTGTACATGGATGCCTCCCTGTTACGCACCTCAGGGAGCAAACTTCCTAAAGTCGGTAGCGTCTGTTGGAAAAAAAGAATGTTAGGCTGCAATATTGAACAGCTGGGATGGCAGAGGAGCTGGAGACAGCTCTCACAAGGAATGCTACCTTGCAACAGTTGTTTTTAAACAAAAAAAATACAAGGTGCTTTATTTATTTTTTTTTTTTTTACACATTTGCACAATCACACTTCCTTAGTGTTTTGGATGCCATACTATATAATTTACACTCCTGAGAGTATGTGTGAGATCATTTTTATCCCCAGCTAAAATATTGGAAAATCTGAATACTATACTCTTTCAAACAGTAAAAACAGATTCTCAGGACTTGGAATGTACTCTCTTTATGTTGTCTTTGAACTCTCATCCAAAGTGAGGAATATTATTTAAAAAGCTTTCTTATACTACAATTGAGAAGCTGCACAATATTTATTCTCAAAAAGTATTTTAGTCCTTTCTTTCTATGCACAGATACATTTTTTCTTTAACAAAATAGTGATATTTAGAAACATTATATGCTATCATAGCTGTTGTCACGAGAAAGTAGAAGATTAACAACTAACGTTGTACTAAGTAGTTTTCTGTTTATATTTTAACTGCTGACATGGAATGCAGTCCTTATGCAGCAAAAATTGATTTTTGCCATCTTGTCTCTCATTCAATTTGTGAAAACCTGTATATTTCTAAATTATTTTGTACACAACTGAGATTATTTAAAACTATTTTTAGACTCCATACATTAAATAGGATTGTAAAATCACTAGTGAATGGTTAATTTCATTAAACAATTTGTCAAGTAATTACTAAGAACTCCAGATGACTTCCTTAGGGTACTTACTTTTTTTACAATATACGCCTTCTATTGAGGCATATACTCTAAAGTCCAGTTTAGGGGTGGTGATGCATAAGGAAAGAACCAAATTCAACATGACTATGCGTAAACTGAAAAAGTTACCAAAATTCTTACATCAGAACTTTGAGACTTGAGTTTGAAAAGTATTAATTTGTCAAAGAATGGAAAGATATCCTCAATTTTTTGCAAGATGA